TTCTGTGTGGTAGCCAATCTCCAAGGTAGCTTCCAAGATAGTCCCCAATGATCCTTATGTTTTGGTATTCACACATTTGTGTGGCCCCCTTCCACATTGTGCCAGAGTTTGTTTGACCAATGACATACCAGAAGTGATGGTATGTCATTTGTAAGATCAAGATATAAAAGTCCGAGGCTTCTGTTTGGAGCTCTTTCTTGCTGTCTTTCCTATCATTTTCTCTGGGGGTTGTCAGCTGCCATGTTGTGGGGTCAGTTAGGCAGTCTGGAGATAAGCGTTTATGATAAGGAACTGAACTCTGTAACAACAGTCAGTGAAGAACTGAGGTTTGAAAATGACCTGGCGAGTGAGCTCAGAAATGGATCCTGTCTTAGCTGAGTCTTCAGATGAAACTGCTTTTCTACATAATGGCTTGACTCCAGTGTCACGACATACTTTGAGTGGGAACCTCTCATCTAAGCCACCTTCCAGATCCCTGTTCCCCAGAAATTCTGATAATAAATGTTTGTTGTTTTAAGCTTCTAAATGTTGGGATAATTTGTTGTGCAGCAACACTTACCAGTGACCTCTATTTTTGGTTTTAATCAAAACAGAATCAGGAAAACATATTCTACATAGAATGACTAGAGTTGAGCCCTGGTGTGGTACTGTAGGATAAACATTGGGCTGATAATCACATGGTCAAAATAGAATCAGGAAAACATATTCTACATAGAATGACTAGAGTTGAGCCCTTGTATGGTACTGTAGGATAAACATTGGACTGATAATCACATGGTCAAAAGTTTAAACTCACCAGCCGTTCTTGGAAACCCTATACTGGGTCGCTGTGCATTGGCACCAACTTGATAACACACAATAACAAGGATTGATTCAATCAACATTTGTCTCTCTTGTGCCAATTTCTATTTTAGGTCCTTACTTCCCAAACATATTTGATAATAAGAATTACCTGGGATGATGGGTAAGCATACAGATTTCTAAGCCCATTAACTGGTTTTGGAATTGGATCCAGGAATCAGTATGTTTAACCAGCACCTTACTTATTTCTTAGCTTGAGGAACGTTGCAGAATAGGATACAAAAATGAGTGAGCTAGAGACTTCCCCAGGGAACAGCTCAAGATGGAAAGCAAATCCATACACAAAGGTAAAATTTAAATAGAGGCACCTGCGGTAAGGAAAATGTGAAATTCACTGGGCGGGAGCCTGGGAAATCTCCCTGGATGAAATAATATTTGAGCAAGATCCCAAGAGTTGGATAGAATATCATGGAAAGAATCAGACAGTGATAGTAATAGCTGGCATTTATCAAGGGCCTCTCAAGAGAGAGGTATTGTACTAAGCACGTTACCTCTTTTATTTAACCCTTGTAATAATCCTATGAGTTGTTGTTGTTGTTAAGTGCCATCGAGTCGGTTCCGACCCATAGCAACCCTGTACAGGGTTTCCGAGGGTGTAAATCCTATGAGTAGGAGAGAGTATTACCAGTAATTTACAAATGAAGAAAGTCACACCGTTCTTGCCTTCAGATAAAGGTAAAAGGAGTCAGCGGACTCCATATTCCATGCTTTTAACCACCATACTGCTCCACTTCCTGTGGGACACGACACGAGACTCAGAGGTATGAAAATGCCCCGACATCTTTGTAAATGACAAGAGCTTTGAGAAGATGTGGATATGGGAGTGAAGTGCTGGAAGCTGGCAGTAGTACAAGATTGACTCATTCGTTTTGTAAATGAGGAAAAGTTAAGTGACTTGGCTCCCTCAGGCAAAGCTGATTTAAATGTCCGAATCTACTGTAGCCCTCTTTTGATTATGGACCATTGGAGGGCAAATTGGGATTGTAATTGATGCTGGATAAAAGATGTTGAATCTGTTCTATAGGTTTTTGAGTTGAGATCCGTGCTCTGGTCACCAAGCCTTCTGTGCAGAAATCTGATGTCCCTGGGGGAATCCTCCCATTCTACAATGCCACACCGCTCCCCATCGTCACCCCCATCACTTCATCGCTATCTGAAAAGTTCTCTGATGCTCTTTTAAACAAGAAGTGCCTGCTACTGACAACGGACTAAACTAAACCTGATGGGAAGCTGTTTTATTCGGACCCAGAGCGCCGGGTGAGGGTAGAGTTGTGGGCAGGAGGGAGACTCCTGCCGGTTCTTTGAATTTTCACCACCAAAGTCTGACCATATCCACCCACTCAGGCCCTGGGGCTGACAAGGTGAACTGGCCGAGAAGTCAGCGTGTCCTGGGGCGGGTACAGCTGTGCAGAAGGGTGGCCATTAGCTCGGGGTCCACAAAGAGCCCTGCTTGCAGTGGGGGCGCCCTTGCTCCAGTCTGAGACAGCCCTTCCGGAGCCTGAGCCCAAAGAACGCTCACCGTCCGCACTTCCACGGGATATTCTTGCAGAGAGGTGCTGCCTCAGCGCCCCCCACACTTTAGCCCGGGTGCGACTCCTGGGTCCCCAACTGTGCGCGTGCCCAGGCGGCCCCCGACGACGTGCTCCTCTTGGATCCCTGACCCGGGACCCCAGAGCGCCTCGCTCCGGACCCACTCGGAGCACGCCTCCTCAGCCTTCCACCAGAGCCCGAGCGCCCTGCGACCACAGGGGGCGGGGACAGCCAGTGCGGGGCCGGGCTGGGCGGGTGCGGTGGCGCGGGCACAATTCCTGCGAGCCACCAAAGACCCTCAAGAAGAGGAGGAAGAGAGAACCTGTCATCTTCCCCGCGGGCCTGTGGGAGAAACATTTCTTGACCGCGTTCCTGGAATAAAGAAGCCAGGATCTCATCTGGATGCCCAGCAGGTACTTAGCGCTCCCTCCTGGGAGCTAAATGCTCCGAGGACCGCACGCGGCGGCGGCGGTGGGGCAGTGGAGGCTTTTGAGTGGGGTAAGGGCTTTTTTTAGGGACTCGCCCTCATCTTCAGGTTTTTTTTTTCCCCTGGAGAGCTGGGATGCTCCCTCTTTTCTGTCCTTAGGCATAGTCTCCCAGGCTCGGAAGAGAAAGTTGGGAACTGATGAGGATTTACCAGTAGGGACTGCAAAGAGATGCTTTCAGGGATCCCACGACAGAGGTTGGCGATGAAGTTCCTCCCTGCAAGGTGAGAATAAAGGAAAAAGGTAGCTGGACAATTTCTGCCCATATCCTACGTCTCCCAGCTCCCCCACTCCAGTCTCGAAGCTTCTACTATTCTTTGTTTAGAAACCCTGACTTTGAGACTGCGCCCCACTCCAGGTATATGCTAACCCCTCTCCAGAGGTGGAATGCCTCTGAGCTTTGGCAGAGACCGGAACCTGAGACACATTGCCTGCCATGACAGGGGCTGTCCCGCCAGGGTTACAGTTATACCTACTGTGGCTCCAAGTCTGGGTCCCGGGGATCTTGAAATGCTTCTGACACCTGGCAGGGTGCTGGAGGGGTTGGGAGAGAGGAACTCAGTATTACTGGGGTACCCTTGATACTCCAGAGACAGACTCCAGGTGTCACTCTTTTGAGGAGTGTGGGCAACCAGCTTTTCTGAGGGTGTCAGCCTTCTTTGTCTTTCCCCGTAATCTGAGATTTAGCATTTACTCCTTGCCTCTTCTTTCTGCTATCCTTTAGGTTGCTGTCCACACTCCAGCTCCCAAATGTGATATTTTCAGGCTCTGGGAGGGTCTGTAGGGAGAGCTCAGGGGAGAGAGGGACTCTGAGCTTCCTACCTGCCCCTAGCAGTACTGCTGACGGCTCCCACCTCTCCTGCATCGTCTTTAGCCCCCAGACCTATTGTGTGGTGCACTGGAGTCCTAGATGTCCGTTTTCCCTTTGCAACTAGCTGACTGATGACTGAGTATTCAATAGAAATCCCTTGCAGTTCTAGAATGTAACACAGTCCCTCTCCTGGGAGCTCTGTGCTTTATAAACATTATTGATCTCCTCCTGCCTGGAGAATGTTGCAACCCTGAGTGTTTAAGCTATTTACCTCAGAATTACACCCAACCTAGAAAGAATTTTGCTTTCTGACCTAGTCTCAGTCACTGCTGGGGCTGTGACTTGGTACTTACTGTGTGTAGCATCTTACTGGAGAACCAGTAAAAACAACAACAAAAACAAACAAAGAGTTGCTGTTGAGTCTATTCTTACTCATGAGAACCCCATATGTGACAGAACAGAACTGTATTCCGTAAGTGTTTCAATGGCTGATTTTTCAGAACTAGATTAACAGGTTTGTCTTCTGAGTATCTGGGTACACGTATACCTCCAACCTTGTTGAGCCAAGCTTCTAGGGTCTCTGCTGATTTTGATGTGGGGACAGGAAATCCATTGATAAGAGGGGAAACCAGTTGCCTGCTAGGTTTTGTGATTTATAGAGCCATGTTTTACATGAAGGAAGGAGACTAGCTCATGGAAAGCAGACAGGTTGTCTCAAAGTCCTCCTTCTGCAATAGTATCCAGAGTGATTTCTTTTAAGCCACTGGAAGGGATGTATTGCAACTGCAAAAGAATCACATCCACAAAGAACAAAGTTCACACTGTTAGGTCGATGAATAGAATTGGTAACTGGGTGGGATGCAGGTCATTTCTGTTTTTTAGAGCCTCACCACACTCCCTACTTTGGTCCCTGATCAAAAGCTAAGATGTCTGTGTCTTCAGTGGAGTGAAAATAAACTAAACCAGTGCCTGGTTGTCCAACCTTCTCTTAATGAGTGGGTCTGTGGCTTGGGGTTTATTTGTTTTCTGTCACTGGATTCTTTTTCCCACTCCATCACCCTATGTTCACTCTGAGCAGATAACTAGTGGTTCTGCATAGGTTGCCAGATAATATTTATGGTTCACTTACACTTAAACTGTTTATCTTTCAAGGGTCTAGGATGGAGTTTGGAATCTATGGCCTGAGGATCTTCACAGGGAGATTGATTGTCTAAGGGAGAAGAGAATACGAGCAGAAAGAGGAGACCTTCACCCCAACAGACATTGTCTAAGGGGAATTCCCAGCCTTGCTGTTCACAGCTCCAGCTTTCTAGATGGAGGTCATCATGGGGGTTGTTAGGAATGACAATGTCACCAACACCTCTACCAGCTTCCTCTCTATGCTCGACTCCCATGGAATCCCAGCGGCTCCCTTCCCACTCAACTTTAGCTATGGGGACTATGATATGCCCTTGGATGAAGATGAGGATGTGACCAATTCTCAGACTTTCTTTGCTGCCAAGATCATCATTGGCATGGCCCTGGTGGGCATCATGCTGGTCTGTGGCATTGGCAACTTTGTCTTTATCGCTGCCCTGGCCCGCTATAAGAAGCTACGCAACCTCACCAACCTGCTTATTGCCAACCTAGCCATCTCTGATTTCCTGGTGGCTGTCGTCTGCTGCCCCTTTGAGATGGATTACTATGTGGTACGTCAGCTTTCCTGGAAGCATGGCCACGTGCTGTGTGCCTTTGTCAATTATCTGCGCACTGTCTCTCTCTATGTCTCCACCAATGTCCTGCTGGCCATTGCCATCGACAGGTGAGCCTGGGAACAGTGGGGACAACAAGGGGGTCAGAAAGGAAGAGGCACTGGAATCGCCCCTACCTTTTCCACTACTGCTGTGGTGTATCAGGAGTGTCTGAGCTCCCCTTAAATGTGAACGTAGGGTTGTTCACCATTTTCCTCATTGATTAAACAGGGCAAAGAGGTTTTGTTTTCCAGCTGTGGTCAGGCAGGCAGTAGCAGAGTTGGACATTAGGAAGGTTTTTGATCCCTCATCTGTGAACAAGCTCGTAGATGTCCTACCTGTTAAAGGTCTGGAAGTAGCTAGGTACAAGAAGGTGGTGAGGGACAAGTTTGGACTGCAGGTAATTCCCTCTTGAGTCAACATGAACATCTTAAAGAAGGTTTCCATCTCATTGATGCTTCCCTAGGGAAGCATGCTCTCCTTAGTATCGTTTGTTTAAAAATAAGATTGATGGGCTTATTTTGGAGAAAAAGGGAGGAGGGGCAGGAGGGGCAGCTGATATGCTGGCTTCCTTTATGGTTTTTGTTTTGTTGTTGTTTTGTTTCATTTTGCATTAATCAGTTTGCTCCTTTTCATACATTTGTATGCAGGAGTACAGAAGCCCTAGTCCCATGCACATCTTTTTTAGGTTTATTCTTTTCGTTCAGTTTCATCAGGAGTGCTGATGGTTCAGGTTGATCTTTCCTCTTTGTGGGACAATCTTTATAACCTCCTCTGCCCAAAGCTAGCACTTCACTACAAAGCACTTTGTTACAGTCTACAGACAGTTCACCCTGAGGCTCAAATCAGATCTCTGTGTACTTGGATCTGAACAGCTTGCCCAGTCTCTCTCCCTTAACCAGCAGAGTGTGAAGCATAAAAGTCCTCCCTGTTCTATAGCCTCAGGGCTTGGTGGGGTTCAATTTGCCCATCACAGCCAGGGAACCTTAAGAGAGCTATGGGGAGGAACATAGCTAATTGAATGTGTTTTCTGAAGCTGTAAGTATGGTAACCAGAGAGCGGCTAACCTGGAAAACAATTTCTGAGGAAATGGGGGCAAAGGGCTGCTTCTCTTCTCCTTGGCTGTGGTCCTCCATTTGACTCATGGAGCCTCATGGTGTTGTGTCCACCCAGGTTTGGCCTCTGTGTGAATCTCCAATGAGAAGAGTGATCAGCTAAGCAGATTATTTACCCGCTGAGCCTCCCTGAGAGCTATCAAGAGAACTTGTCTCTGACCTTTTCTGGAAGTAGAGGTTGCCACTCTTAGTGCATGAATAGGACAAAGTATATGGGGTTACTCCCTGAAGTTGCTTGCTAATAATACATCTCTTTGTAACTGGTCCTCTCAACTACTTAAAGTAGAGAAAGGTAGGTAGGTGCTTGCTATGGGGTGTGACCCTGCTCCTTGAATGGGATCCACTTTACTCTGTGGATCCTACAGGAGGGGAGGGACTACAAAGGGGAACAAAGTCAGGACATACCAAGAAGTGACTTCTTTCCAATATAAGAGATAATATATGCATCAAACAGTCCATCTAAATACGATACTGGACTTCTTCAAGCTTATCCCTCTCTCATATCAAACCCAACTTGTCTGAAATTTACAGATATTTCTCTGACAGCATAAACTTACATAATACACACTAGATATTGTAAGAAAGACTAATTGGGGAGTAGGCTTTCCATCTTGTAGGAGGCTATTGTGATTGGAAACTTGCATGCAGGCACAAGAGGAAAGTGTTGCGTGCTTGCACGCCAGGACCTTGGCTGATTAACTGGCTGCTCCAAATTATTAAGTTCTCTCTTGATGTTTGGGATCTTTGCTTCAATTTACTTTGATGTTTATGCATTTTTATCATCCAATTTTGCTTTTGTGATCTAGGAACTCATTGAGTTTTATGTGGGCCTATGTTCAGGACTTGATTAATGATCTTCATTCTTGATTTGATCAGTTTTGTGTAACCCATTTTTATCTTGAAATAATAAATGCAATGACAAAGAAAACCCAACAACCTATTATTTTTGCTTAGTTAAATTTTTGTAGGAAGGGTGTTGGTGGTTATTCTGTGGAGGTTTAAACTCTTGCTATACCACTTACACCCAAAGCAGCAGGGCCTTATGCCAGTATGTTGCCTCTCCCTACCTCGATTTTCTCCTGCAAATGGGGATAATGAGAGAACCTAGTGTGTTGTGCTGCTTTGAGGACTAATTGAAATACTAAACTAAAGCTGTTAAAACAATGCTTGAGTCACAGCATGTACCATACCCAGTGCCATCAAGTCTTTGTGACTCCTAGCAACCCTATCCAACAGAGTAGAATTGCATCTTAGTGTTTCTAACCTTTGTGGAGCAGAATGCCTCATTTTCCTCTTGCAGGGTTTGAACGGCTGAACTTTTGGTTAGCAGCCCACTCTTTTAACCAACTGCACCTCCAAGTCTCCTTTGAGACATGGAGCAAGCTCTCAATAAACAGTAATAGTAGATTTTTAGGTTAACCCTTAAAGGAGCAAAGGAAACAATAAAGACAATAAACTAATAAATAATTCAAATGAGCTAATTTCTTTGTTTTTATTGAAACAATTGTTTTTATAATGTAATAAAGAACATAATAAGGTTACCAAGAGACACAGCATTCAAGGTATGTTGTTATTGTTAAGTGCCGTTGAGTGGGTTCTGACTCATAGCAGCCTTGTATTGGGTTTCCAAGGAGTGGATGGTGGGTTTGAACTACCAACTTTGTGGTTAGCAGTCCAGTACTTACTCTGCAATGCCCAAATAGTAGAAAAGAACTGTTCATTTTCTTCCTGCCTCCCCATCTCTGTTTCTATCATTGTTCCATTGTTCTCCCAGGCACCTAGCCTAGAAGCCCTCCTTTGTCCTTTCTCTAACATTCTCTCTAACCTTCAGAAGCTAGCAGTACTTTGTCTCACTTGGGTTCTCATGGTTTCCTTTGTGTCTTTCTGCTCCCCTGTCTCTTGGTTTTGCCCATCTGCCAGCGCTACTCTCCTTATATTTATTTATTAATTTATTCAAGCACTGCATTTCTATAGAGTGTCTACCATGTGACAGATAGTTTTCCAAGCACTGGGGATGAAGCAGTGAATAAAACAAAAAATGCTTTGTCTTCATGGAACTTAGAAATGGAGACAGGCAACAAGGAGAAAAAAGGTGATTTCAGAGGTAGAAATTGCTTGAAAAAGAACAAAAACATAGAGAGGATCTAGTAGTTCAGGACAATGTCTCTGAGAAGAAGACATTTGAATTGACCTCTGGATGATTGTTGTTAATTTCTGTTTGAATCAGTTCTGATTCATAGTAACCTGGTATAAGGTTTCCAAGGAGCAGCTGGTGAGTTTGAACCTCTGACCTTGTGGTTCAAACCGATCTTGTGGTAGAGTGCTTATCCTGCAGCACTACACCAGGATTCCTGAATGATGCTGTTGTTAAGTTCCAACTCATAGTAACCCTGTATAAGGTTTCTGAGGAACAGTTGGTGGGTTTGAATTGCTGACCGTGTGGTTCTCAGTGTGGAGCTGATCCTACAATGCCACATGAGGCGACTGCCAGAATGATTTTTGCTGTTGTTAAGTGCAGTTCACGTCAGTTCCAACTCACAGAAACCCTGTATAGGGTTTCGGAGTGCAGCTGGTGAGTTTGAACCTCTGACCTTGCGGTTCAAACCAACCTTGCGGCAGAGTGCTTATCCTGCTGCGCCATACCAGGACTCCTGAATAATGTTGTTGTTAAGTGATGATGAGTTGGTTCCACCTCATACATAGTGACCTTATAGGGTTTCCTAGGAAGAGGGGGAAAAAAAAAAGCTGGTTTTGTACAAATTGAAAAAAAAAAGCATTCCAAACAAAGTGCAAAGGCCCAGAGGCAAGAACAAGCCTTATTTGTTCTAGGAACTGAAAGCTGCTACAGACTGAGAAAAGTAAGGCCAATTGCAACCAAATTAATCTGTCTTGCACATGTCTCCCCTCTGTTGCTTAAGACAAATCCTCTAATGACTCCATTGTCTACAAAATATGGCTTATGTCTCTTAGCCGAATCTCCCAACCTTTTATGATCCGGCCCTGGTTGTGTCCTAGTGCCATGCTAGGTAAGCACAGTTAGCTCCTGCTTTCCAAAAGCAGTGGCAATCCTTTTGAGAACTGTTACCATGTCTCTTTATGTTTCTATTCTTCCAGTTCCAGTCCCTTGCAAACCACACTGGGATCAATGTGGAGTATTTAATAAAATCCTTGTTGTTGTTGTTAAGTGCCGTCGAGTTGGTTCCGACCCATAGCGACCCTGTACAGGGTTTCCGAAGGTGTAAATATTTACGGGAGTAGAAAGCCTCATCTTTCTCCTGCGGAGCAGCTGGTAGTTTCGAACCGCTGACCTTAAGGTTCGCAGCCCGATTCGTAACCACTACGCTACCAGAGCTCCTACTCCTGAAAAAAGGAGTCCTGATGTGGCACTATAAGATAGGCCCTGAACTGCTATCCACAAGCTTGATGGTTCAAACCCACCATCTGCTCCTTGGAAACCCTACACAGGGTCTCTATGAGTCAGAACTGATTCAACGGCACTTAATTGTTGTTAACACCCCAAAATCACAAACCAGTTATTGTCAAGCCAAGTCTGACTAATGGTGAACTCATGTGCGTCAGAGTAGAAGTGGGCTTCATAGGGTTCCCACTTCTGTGACCTTTAAGAAGTAGATTTTCAGGCCTTTCTTCCAAGGAATTTCTGGATGGATTGGAACCTCCAACCTTTCAGTTATTAGTTGAGCATGTAACTAGGGACTCCTGGAATTCACAGCAAAAAGTTATAAAATCGGTGGTGGTGGTGTGCTGTGGAGTTGGTTCTGACTCATACTGACACTGCATAGGCTTTCTGAGGCTGTATATCTTTATGCGAGCAGAAAGCCATATCTTTCTCCCATGGACTAGCTGGTAGTTTTGAACTGCTGACCTTGAGGTTAGAAGCCCAACTCGGAACGACTACACTACAAGAGCTAGTAAGATCCATTCCCCGCTTCTAGGGAGCTTGCCATGCAGAGTGAGAGAAAACTATCATTTATGACACCGGTTAGGTAGTAAATTCAAATGAAATACAGGTAAAGGTGAGGTCACTGTGTGCTAGAGTGGTTAGAGGAGACTTCCTGGAGGAGGTGGACAGTTAGCTGGCCTTCAACAGAGAATTAAGTTGGAGATTGGCAATGGAGAGTAGAACAGTGTTTGCAGAGACCTAGAGGCAGGAATGCTAGTGGTGGGTATGAGGTACATTGGATAAGTACATAGGGCAAGAGAAAGGAACATGTGGTAGTGGAGTTCTGAAGATCTCACACTCCAAGCAAAGGAAATAAGACCCGCTAGTGAAAGGGAGTTGAAAGAGACCAGACCTAGAGAACTTGGTCTCCTCTGGCTTGGGTTTCCCCTTTGATGTGCACATACCTCAGATCCTACAATGTGAAGGACTCTGGGAGTGGATCTTCCCTTCTAGAGAGAGGAAGCCAGCCAGTCTACCACTGTTTGACAGGTTCTGTCTGGATGAGGCCAGCTAAGGCATGGATAACCACATTCAGCCTTTGGTGTGAGGTGTTGTCAAGTGGACTCTGACTCACAGACGCCAAAATGAAATGTTACCCGGTCCTGCGCCATGCCGTACTCACAATTGTTACTACGTTAGTGCCCATTGTTGCAACCCCTGCATCAATCCATCTCATATCGGAGCTTCTTCTTTTGAGCTGACCAAGCATGATATTCTTCTCCAGGGACTCTTCACTCCTGATAATATGTCCAAAGAATGTGACACATCCTCACTTCTAAGGAGCATTCTGGCTGTACTTCCTCCAGGACAGATTTGTTTGTTCTACTGACAGTCCATGAAACATTCAATATTCTATATTACCATACTTCAAATGCATCCATTTTCATTTGATCTTCCTTGTTTATTAGCCAGTGTTTGCATGTATATGAAAGGATAGAAAATACCTTGACTTGGGTCAGGCACACCTTAGCCTGCGGGCACAAATGCCCCCTGGTGATCTCCTTGGTCCGGGCTGGCTGGTTGGAGGAAGTGGCTGTGCATTCTCTGATCAAGCAGTCCAGTAGCTGTTGGGACTGTGATGGTTGTGGCCTGCTCTTTCTTAATCACTAGCCCACCATCATCTCACAGTTCCTGCTTATGTAGGTCTTGGTCCTGCAGCCTTTATTTCTTGTTCTCCAGGAAATGTCAGCTGCAAGCTGATCTGGACCTGAGTCATTGTAGTGGTAATGTAGGCACATGGGACAAGCCAGGTACATATTCAGAAACAATAAAAGGAAGCTGCTCATTGCCTGGTACTTTCTTGGAACACCAATAAGTAGAAAACAACAGTGATGGAAAGGGATACAGGAAAGGAGGTGTTACACTGCTACCCAGGCAGGACTATGGGATGTTGCTCACTCTGATAGAAAGGCAAAAACAGCAAAGGACCCACTGGAGAGGCCACTGGATTTGAAGCAAGATATGGGTCTAAGACAGGGTTCTGTCAATTTCTAGTTGTGTGAATTTTTGAAAAGTGACTTTATTTCTTGAAGCCTCAGTTTCACTCATCTGTATAATGGGCATCTTTGTTCTCCCTAGTCTATAGAGTTGGTGTGATCAAATGAGAAAATAGATTTGAAAATGCTTTGTCAGTTGTGCAGTCCTATATAAACATTTAAAAATAAATAATACTGGAGTTCTGGAGTTCTGCTTCTAGGAAAGCAATCCTTGAAACCATGTTCTGCAATCTGCCTAGTTGTAGATGTATCAGGAAGGGCTCCTGCGTAGCTCTTTGGGTCTAACCCCAGGGACGGTATTGGATTGATAGCAGAGAGAGCGAGAACGGCACAGCTATCCGTTGGGTAATCATAAGGGAGTCCTCACGGAGTGGTGGGTTAGACAAGAGCAGCAGCTGAAACCCACCAGCCACTCTGTGGGAGAAAGATGAGGCTGTCTGCTCTGTACAGATGAACAGTCTTGGAAACCCTACAAAGGCTTGCTCTAATTTGGAATTGATGGCAGTGGGGTTGGTTGGCTTTTAGACAATCACAGATGACCCAGAAGATTCATTTTGATTAAAATGGGGCCAATAAAATGGAAAGTAATTCATAGTCTCCTATAGTTATTCATAGAATCAGCACTCTGAAGGATCATGAAAACTTAGGAAGTTATTTTTAAGGGAAAAAACGAATGGAAATTGCATCCTGAAAATTCATATAGTTAGCAAATATGACTACAGAAGTTTTCTTTGACAGTAATCAGCAGAACAAGGTGGGATAGACAGAAAGTAAGTCAGTGAGAGAGGAAGGACTCTAACCTCCTCATTTTGTTCGGAGTCAGAGCAAGCTTGGTGATCTTTATTCAGGGCATTGGCTACACTCTTCAGAAAGCTCCATGCCACCCTGTAGACCCCAAAGACATCAGTGTGAGAACCATAGATGGTTACCAGTGGTCTACCCTGTTAGAGCAGCTGATGGATGTCAGAGTATTAGTGGGTATCAACACTTCCAACTCCATCTAACATCTTCCAGATGTGGACATCTCACTCCAGTGAACTTAGCAAATGGCACTCAATGGATCTGGTTGCCTGTGTTGGTGGGGAGGGTTGAAAGTAGCGCACATATGTTCAGGGGAGGTGAACAAAAAAAAAAAAAGAAAGAGAATGATCCTCCCTAGCAAACTTAAGTCCTAAGAAAAATGAACCCCCCAAAAAAGGGTTGGTAAGGTGTGCCTTCCTGGCCCTGTCACGTTTGTTCTTGGCTCCACCTGGGAGATAGTGTTTACTTCCAGTGTTGATTAGTCATTCCCTCCCACTTCAGTTCCCATCTTTCTCCTTCTCCAACTTCCACCACCTGCCAGACACGGAAAGTCTTCCAGGAAAGCAGAGCTTTCTGCAGAAGTGTGTGTGTTCTTTGGGAATGAGGCTTTCATATTGCACAGATGACTCACATCCCCCAGAAAGTGCTCCATTTTCTTTCCTGCACCCCTGTGGTAACAGCAGTGTGGTCCTTTGGAAAGAACAAAAGCAATATTTTCAACTGTCTGGTGCTTTGTGGTTAAAAACAAAACAAAAAACATTATATTCACATATATTCTCAATTGATTTTCATATCCACCCCGTGAGGTCGGGTTAAATGCTTTCTATCAAAGGTCCTTCTCTATGTGACATTGGAAAGTCACTTCTCTCTCATGACTGCCCCTGTTCTCCTGAAAAAGGAGATCAAGGACCACACACGTTTTCTTCACCTTTGCATGTGGAGCAATGTTTTTAAAACTGTGAGCTTATGATAAAAACTTTGCCCACTGCTTCCATTGGAAAGATGAAAACTTTTTGGAATTAGCAGCTATTGTTTGCACTTCATTACTCACTTAAAGGTTGGCAGTTTGCATCCTGGTGTGCACTGTGGGTTAATGTGCGGAACTGCAAAGTCAGTTTGAATCACAAGGTCGGTGGGTCAAGCTTACCATCTGCTCCTTGGAAACCCTGTTCTAGGTCGCTATGGGTCAAAACCGACTCGACGGCACTTAACAACAACAGTGGTGCTGCAGGAGAAAGGCTGATGATCTGCTTCTGTAAAAATTGCAGCCTATGGGACATGGTGTCACTATGAGTCAGAATCTGCTTGATGCAAACACATTTTGGGGGAGGTGGGATTTAGCTCGAAGCTGTGGGGATAATTAGGTTGAATAACCTTGGAAACAGGAAGGGCATGGGGAGAGTGTGAGGGCTAGAAGCAGCTGGGATGTATTATTATTACTGCTAATACTAATAATGATAATTTACTGAGTACATACTATGTTTAAGATCGGTGGTAATTTTGCATACATGAGTACATTTAGTTCTTAAAAGCAAACAACTACAAAAAAATCATTTGTGGTTAGGAAAATTGAGATCCAGAGAGATTAAACAAAACTTGCCTGACATTGCACAGCTATGGAGCTGGGTTTACATGCAAGCTTGCCTATCTCTATAGTCCACATACCATTTCCTCTATACATAGCATTTGAATGCGCCTCATAATGTTGCAGAAATCACATTACCATTCCGCACAGCTGACCTTAGTTTTGTCCTGTCTTTCCACCTAGATATCTGGCCATTGTACACCCGCTGAGACCACGGATGAAGTATCAGACCGCCACTGGGCTGATTGCTTTGGTCTGGATAGTATCTATCCTCATTGCCATCCCATCAGCCTACTTCACGACTGAAACAGTCCTCATCATCACCAAGAGCCAGGAAAAGATCTTCTGTGGCCAGATCTGGTCCGTGGACCAGCAGATCTACTACAAGTCCTACTTCCTCTTCATCTTCAGCATTGAGTTTGTGGGACCCGTAGTCACCATGACTCTGTGTTATGCCCGGATCTCCCGGGAGCTCTGGTTCAAGGCTGTCCCTGGCTTTCAGACGGAGCAGATCCAGAAGCGGCTACGATGCCGCAGGAAGACGGTCCTGGTCCTCATGTGCATCCTCATGGCCTATGTGCTGTGCTGGGCACCCTTCTACGGCTTCACCATCGTGCGTGACTTCTTCCCGATCGTGTTTGTGAAGGAGAAACATTACCTCACAGCCTTCTACGTCGTGGAATGCATCGCCATGAGCAACAGCATCATCAACACCCTGTGCTTCGTGACCGTCAAGAATAACACCATCAAGTACTTGAAGAAAATCATATTGCTCCACTGGAAGTCTTCTTACAATGGGAACAAGTCGAGTGCAGACCTTGATCTCAAATCCACGGGTGTGCCTGCCACGGAAGAGGTGGATTGCATCAGATTAAAATAACTCAGTGGACCTGTCAGCAGTTATACAAAACCAGATCTCGGAGATACTAACCAGTGTGCTTGGAGACACATCACTCCTGGTTTGCTTAAGAGGGCAGGGTAAATGGACAACTTGTGGACACTGTAACTGGGCTCAAGAAACTTGGAATTTCTGAAACTGATGTGACCAGCTATCCTTAGCAGTGACTGACTTTTATTGAACATCTAATTTGTGTAAAGAGAAGTCTCTAGTGAAACCTATATATAGTTACAACATCTAATAGTAAAGATGAAGTTGGAGTTTGACCCGGGGAAATGTTGGGTATGAACAGCCTCGAATAAGTGTTTTTCCAGAAGGGAACTCTAGTAGGCGTCTAGGACTGTGGTTCATGTGTTCACCATCAAGTGTTTGAAGAAAATCGTAAGGGTTTCTCTGGACTGTCTCAGTGACTCACCAAACGCATCAAAAACAATCTCTGGGATTATTCTCAGACTTGAGTTTATGTTAACATTTGCAGGACTGGGGCAGGAATACAAAAAAGGCTTCCCACTCTTCCTGGAACCCTTCTCTTCCCATTCTGGTTTTGATCCTCACTGTGAGGGGTCTTATATGCATGTAAATGGACCCCTTAAAATACTTGACCAGGTTTTGTCCAAATCATCTTTCACAAACACTGCCCAAGATCACACCTCAGACCTACAGGTGGTAAGTGGTGGACTTGAGGAAGCAGCCATGTAGACCCTGAAACCATTTAGACAGGAAATTATGGGATTCTGAGTACTTGGAGCAAATTTAGAAGGGAAGGCTTGAACTCAGATGGGCAAGTATTCTTGGCTTGCTGCGCTATGGGAAGAGGTTCGGGTGGAAAAGGGTCAGAACAGGACCTTGGAAAGTGGGGTCCCATGGTATGTGGACAAGGGGCTTGGACCTCCTATGGCTAAAGGTAATCCTCTCTCCTGGGCCAATTATACTACCCCTTCGTTTTCATGTGTCCATGCTTGTGAAGCATTGAAGATAGAGACACAGACACTTTGATACTCTCCTCAGCTCTCAAATGTGTGCAAGGAAGAGCCCCGTCCTAACCAGGAAAGGGAACGTGATTGATGTGAGTCTGAATCCCATCTTAGTCAATAATTCCTTAGGCTAAGACTAGCTTCTCTTTTAAAATGGAAGTACTGTTAGGAGGGGTAGTCCATTGCATTTCTGCTCTTTATTGCTAATAAAGTCATGTGATCCAGTGAGCAGAGCCTTGGCCACCAAGGAAAGAAGGAACATTCAAAGAGTTGGGGAATGCCCCAACAGTGAGTTCCAGTTTTGTTGAAGGCTCTTCCTGCTTTCTAAGCCACCTCTTCTGTATGGTGTTTGGAACTTGAAGTTTTGGACAAAAGATATGAAATCTGTCACCGATTTGTTTCTGGGCAGAGCCTTGATGTGGAGCTGTAAGATAAGCAATGGACTTTTAATCACAAGGTTGCCATTCAAACTCATCAGCTGCTCTTTGGAAACCCTATACAGGGGCACTACGGGTCAGAAAAACAAAGCCTCTCAGAGGGACAGAGGTAATATCTAAAGATGAGGTGGTTGTGAAAAACTCGTGAGATAATTATGGGGGAAAACTTCCAGTCACACCAGTATAATAAAAAGAATGGACGAATTCCACATGTTTCATTCCTGGACAAGGAAAAGCCTGTCACCTTGGTTCGCTTACGTGGAAGCCTCATCATCTTCCCCCGTCATTATTCTTGGTGTGAATTAATATTCCCTTACCCTTCTTAGCAGTGGTATATGCATTATGCTCATAATAACACGTTGATATAAACAAGGCTGTGAAATCGGGCAGAGGTGTAAAGGAAGTGGTGGGTCAGTCTCCAATCAAAAGGCATGCTCAGTGTTTTGGAAACCTCCAGAATCACAGAGCATGTCTGTGATCATGGGAATATTGACTACTTCCCGTGCCTTTCCCAGCTCGCATGAACCTGCGTTTATGTGGTAGTTATTTCTCAATCTGTTTTTATTACTATGAGTGCGCAGAACTATATTATGACTTGTCCTTTTCGTTTTATTAAAATTGAGAGCAACACATTTATAAGGCTGTATCATACCTGTGTGAAGTTTCCCTCTCCAAATATAGTCAAACTGTTCATGGTTTGGATTTGTTGCAAAGTTTATTGTTTTAATTACTCCCCCCCACACTCCCAGGAAGACACATTTCAAAAGCCTATTTACTTCTTTCCATTCATCATCCAAATGATGTACCATTCAATTTAACCAGAATGCTCTTAAAGGATACTAAGAACATTAGTCTAAACCAAACATGCATTGGAAAGCAATTCTTCTTCTTATTTTTTTTTATAAAACCACACATTGCACTCTAAAATCAGAAACATTAGAGTTAAAGCTATTTATATTTTAAAAAATAATAGATGGTATCATCTGCTGTCCTTTTATTTTTTTTTCCCACTGAGAACAAGAGTTGAGTGTTCTAAATAGAAGCTTTACGCAACAACCAAATCCTTTTCTGTTTTTCAGCTTGAAATATATAAATTTTCATTCTTTTAGTTGTCTGTGATATTTCTGGATATTAATACCTACTTGTGATTTTATGGTGAATGAAAGTGTTGTGTTGTTATCAAGTGAAATAAAAACCAAACAAACATGAGTGTGTATAGCTGTTGATGATGGTGTTCCTGTGATTTCTGTCCCTGATTTTTTTT